AAGGGACGGGCGGGATGGAGATCGAAACGAGGATGAAGCAAAGCGTTCGCGGATGTCCCATGACGCGCCATACACTTGAGCTGAGTTTTTCTCTCCGTCGCGGCTGCATACTCGAACGCACAATCGGTAGCTGCAGATAGCGAGAAGGTCCAATAAGAACTAAGATCTAAGCAGTTCATGATGGACCTTGGAGGATAAAGAACGCACACGACAGTGCATGGGCGTGCGTTGCATGTGCTGTTGCTCGAATGCACAACGTCAAGTGGCGCCCACGACCGAGCCGCTCGTTGCCAGTCACATTCCTTCGCGTGGAGGTTCAAGAAGGCCAGTGGAGGTTGCTCGCGGTGTTGGTGATCCTCATCCTTGGGACACCACGAACGGGTGTCGCGTTTAAGTTTAAGCTTTAACGCGTTTTACGAGGGTTTGCGCCCCAAGGCGTTGCTTGCTTGACCAGCTTGACGCAAAACGAGGAATGGAAAACGAAGGCGCCAGCAACACATCATCATTGCACGAGCTATCGCAAACCACTGCGGTCCAATAACAACACGACGACTCGCTTACGGCTTGAAGTTGCAAAACGCATCACATAGCGAGGACGACATGAGGACTCACGTGTACGACACGTATTACGGCAAGCGTCAGCAGCGCCGAATCATTGCGCGCGTGGACATGATCAAGGTGTGCCGGCGCGTAGGCCGCCACCACAACGACGATCGTAGTGCATACTTCTTGCAGCGCAGCCTGTCATCAGCTATCGTCGTTGCTTGGCGAACGAGTTTGATACGATGCTTCTGCCGAACCTTCGGACTCTGAATGAGAGGGGACTTTAACGCTCTGTTGGGCCTGCATGGGTTTTTCGCGTTAAAGTGCGATTTCACGGGTCGCGGTGCGATGCATGTGACAATCACTCTGGTCAACTGGCCTTCTCGCATGCGACGTCCACGAGCCGCAACCGTGTTTGGTAGCGACGCACCCAGCTCTCGGTTCTCGACGCACAACTCTGGATTTTCAGAGTCAAAAGGACTAGGCGCCAGTATGATAACACCATCGTGAAGCGAGACCAGCTGCGATGACGTGAAGTCTTCTTGCCAGTTCCCCGCATGTCCCGGTATCCGATTGGTGCGGGACACTCCGGATGATGCGCCTCGCCCGGACGCTAAACGAATCGCGTGATCGATCCGGATGTTATCCGGCAGATGACAGATCGGGCGCCGCGATGGGATTGGCCAGTTTATTTAGAGTAGGCCAAGTCCTAGTCCTATCGGCAGAGATGGCCGTGCCAGAAACGGGTGGTTTCCACCCCTTTTTGACACGAGGCCGGCCTCTGCTTCAACTAAAATTCGAAAGCGGCCACTTGCCAATTGCCACCCAAGGAAACGGACCGTTCGATGAGTCTGTCGCCGCTCAACTACCTCGAGAAGCTCATGGTGTCGACCGACCTGCTGCGGCCACCGCGCAGCAGCACGTACGACGACGCCTTTGAGAAGTGCCACCCGCTGCGCGAGACGACGACGACGGTCGAGTACCAAGCAGCGCCGATCCGCGCCGAGCACGACGCGCCGTTCTACATGGCGTGGAAGCACAAGTGGGACCAAGGCACGTACTCGAAGCTCGACATTGCGCTCACGTTCGCCGTCTTCTTGTACGTCCGAGCGTTGATGGCGGCGGCATGGCTCATGTATGGTGCTGTGTAGCTGGACGCTGCAGTACTACACGACGTTTCTGCGCTGGAACGAGAACCGCACCGACATTGAAGGCTTTGTGACCATGCACGACCCGGTGCTCATGCGGCTCAGCCCGGGCGACTACTCGGTTTCGCTCTTTGTCTTGGCGTACGGCTCGGTCTCGATTGGCCTCTACCATGCCCGCCACATGCCCGAGCTTATCATTGAGATGCTGCAGACCAAGGCGTTTGTGATTTGGGTGCGCATGGTAATACGATTTGCTACTAGTAGCTTCGCGGGTGCTCACGCATACGTAGGTGGCGTTGTACCTCGTTCCGCTGGAAGCCCCCGTGGGCACGGTGCCGCTTATCGACCCGATTGCGGGCGGCGACGGCATCGTCTTGATGCGCGATCTCTTCTTCTCGGGCCACACGGCGACGACCTTTATGATCTTCCTCGTCGTCCGGCGCCAGAATGTGCTCTGGAAGAGCTTCTTCTTCGTGCTCGCGCTCACAACCGCCATTCTGGTCATGCTCCAAAAGACCCACTACGCCATTGACGTATACGCGGCGCCCTTCTTTGTCTACACGTGCAACTCGATCGTGTACGACCTCCGTGTCGCTTGCAACGTCGCGTGCCCGCCCAAGCCAAAGCGCGACTAGGCGCTGTCGAATTAATAAGACTATTTACGTGTTTTCCGCCGAGTGTCCTATCACGCCGTTGGGTGCAGGCGCACGCAGACCGAAACCAAGCTCGTTCTTAACGGCTCCGTGCGTCGGGAGTGACCCAACATGCATACGGGCCTCAGAGCACCAAAGCACTGCGTGATGATGGCTCTCTCGGGGTGGGCTGACCTTCCGTGGGACCCTCTTCTTGTCACGCACACACTTGCGCTCGATAGCTGGAATGCTTGATATCTCTGCGGACGGTGATCGCAACCGCCATCAATGAATTCTCTGCTTCTTCGATGCGCTCCAAGTGACTTGGCAAAGCAACGGCAGCCGAAGCGCGGGATCAGAGACGGCCTGCCCGTGCGCCAAGAACATTCGCCTGCACCAAGTGACGTCGGCTGGTCCTCAGCGCCCTCCTCGACGCAACTTGCCTCAACTTTTATTTCTTGAAGTGTCCGATTACGCAATACCGCCGACCCTCGTCGGATCGTGCGAGGTGCCGCAAGATTCCTCGTCATGAATCCGGACTATGCCTACCGGGCTTGTGACCTCCGGGAACGCGTGTCCAGCGGCCAGCTCATAAGCTTGTTTGTAGTATGGCAATACAAATGTACAGTCTATGGATGGACGCACGCCGTCAAGTACAGTATTTCAAGGTGCCGAAGTGACATGACTTCGGTCGACGCTAATGGTGTGCCGCTCGATGCCGCCAGAGTCGAACCGGCCGTACAATGTGTGCCGTCGTTGTTAGCAAGAGATGAATGAACGAAAGTAACGTCCTGTTTGGATGGGATACCACGCCCTTGCAGTCGATAGCGGCGACGTCTGAAGCCAAGCAAGGCCATTTCCATGTTTGACACTATTTGTGTCTCTACGTGAAATAGTCTGTGAGCGGGCCAGCCAATAAAAGCGCAACCAATTATTGAGCCGACGGGACCAAGCCGACGTCGACGATGCTCATGGTTCCGACTCTGCGGCGCCTCGGGCGACGCTGCCTGCGCCCGCGCCTCTTCTCGCAAGCTGCCGCGCTCGCCGTGGATGAGCCGCTGCGCAGCTTCGAGATGCACCTGGACGCGCGTGAGCCGCGCGAGGCCCTGCGGATCTTCGAGCAGCTGTCGACACCGCCATCGACGCAGCTCGCGCAGCGCCTTGCAATCTTGCTGGCAAAGAAGGCGTCGCGTGACGAGACCAAGTCGGCGCTTCGCGTCATGAAGAGCGTCTACATGTGCGACACCTTACACTTGCATGCAGCGCTAACACGTCTTGTAGGAACCCGCATTTGAAGCCCGACGATTTCACCAAGCTCGCGTTCATTTACGTGGCCGATGCGTGCTACCGCAACCAGATGCTGCCCGAAGCGCTCGAGGTGACGGAAGAAGCGCACAACCTCGGCGTGCGCCTGGACCTTCCAGCGTACAACAACCTCATCGAGGCGCTGGTCGAAGCCGACCAAGTCGAGGAAGCCGAGCTGATTCTCCAAGACATTGCCGCAGGTAGTCGTCGTCGTATCGTCCACTCTCAGTTCTTGACATCTGACGCAGGCGATGCCATTTCGCCCGAAGAAATCACATATGCACCGATCATCGAGGCCTTGATCCTCCAGCGCGAGTTCAGCCAGGCCATGGAACTCGTTAGCCAAGCGCGCACGAACGGCGTCCAGTTCTCGGAAGAGGTATCTTCAAATTCAACGCAGTAGCAACGTCTCATGCTCGACTAGGGCTACAGCGCCATGATGATGATCACGGCCGAGGTTGACGACCAGTCCGATGCGCTCGAGCAGTTCATCACGTACCTCGACGAGTGCATGCTCGAAGACAACGTCGAGGTAGCAGCAAGAGTTTCTTATTCGCCGCGTCACGTTGGCGTAGATGTTTCAAGAGCTCGACACGCTCACCTTGTTGGACGACGACGCCGACCACGGCGACGATGACGATGGTGACAGTCCGTACGACGACGGTGACGACGACGACGATGACGACGACGATCACCATATCAACTAAGAGCACCGCGCTCGCTTTTCTCATTAGTTGCTGTAGCCATAATAGACCGGACTTTGATTGTACTACTTTGCTGGTATGCGCTTCGAAGCGCACGGGTGCTCAATGTGCGGGGCAGCGTCTCGAGAAGGCTGTGCAAGCTCGGAATCGTGGTCGCTTGCAGCAACGTCGGCAGCAGCAGGTCAAGAACAAGCAGACATAGCGACTCGAACGCCGGTTGCCACCCCGACGGATCGAGAAGACACTGTCATTGTACAAGAAAATTTGTGATAGGAAACAGACGTTCCTACCTGGTCCCAGACAAAATAAAGAGCGTCTTTACGGAGGTAGCCCACGAAGCTGACTTGCAGCCACCTCCTAGATCTGAGTTGTTGCCAACGTGACCATAGGATGCCCACCCAACAAAAAGCTCGCTCGGCGCCTCCAGCATCGCGAGTCGCTTCTTGGCAGCAGGCAAGTCGCCAAAGACCCCTTCAATGTGCTGGTACAGCCTTGGCTGCTCCGCAGCTAATCGTCGCCAGATCTACATAGAATCTGCACATATTTCAGCCGCGTACATTCGTCCTACGCGTTGGGAGCCAGCGACCGCATCACCGCGTATCGGGTGGTGCACATGGGTCTCCAGAAGGCGCGCAAAGGCGCTCAAGAGGTCGACGTCTCTACGCAACACTCGTATCCGTGGCTGCGCCAGATCGAAGCGTGTACCGGCCGCTCTTTTCAGGCCACATTATCGCTATCGGCAGCGCGAGCGCCACGAAAAACGCAGAGTGGCTTCGAGTGAGCACATAGTGTTGGTTCAGGAGCCCTTCGACGCGGGCTTGGAGCGTCCCATGGCCGTCACAGTCCATGAACTGCGGGTAGTCGTCGCGGATGGCGTCGCGCACGAGGCGAAAAAGCATGGGCGCCACTGGCGACCGCCACGGCTCGGACACACCGAGCAGTGTTTGGCTCGCTTTCAGGCGCCACGTCGTGTCGTCGACGTTGGCGCGCCCCAAGAGACACTTTGTCCACACCCACGTTCGCAATGGCGGCGGCAAACTGCGTCCGCGGACTTGCTGCAGCAGCGCCGATTCGATATGCGCCTGCTGGACATCGAGCACCGGGTCGTGCACCGACGGCGTAAGAAACGCCCGAGCTAGAAAGGTCAGGAGCGTTGGGATCGCCGACACATGGGGCGTCGGCGGCATTGCGCCGTGGAGAGACGCCTCGAGACCGCGCTGGAGGCGGCGAAAGCACGGACTCTCGAAAGCTTGCGTCGACGCCATCTATATTCCGTCGTGAGCTTCTTTCAAGTGCAAATGAGAAGAAGCCGACGTGGTCGGCCAGATTCGCCAGGAGCCGTGGGTACAACTGGGCGCTGAGCGCGATACGAGTCTCGTTCGACATGTATGGCTCGTGGACGAGGTATCCGAGGCTGCGCGTTTGTGGGTAGTAGCGCTGCTGGAACGTCTCGCCGCAAAGGCTTAGCACAACCTAGCAACTCGCATGGTCTGGTATCTCGTCGATCGAAACATGAGGAAAGACCTGGCATGCGCTCGGGTTGGTTTCGAACGCCGCAACGCATGTCGCCAGACTGCTGTAGAGCACGTCGAGTACCTGCGTCGAGAGCTCGTTCGGTTGTTCTCACTCGCGGCGGACCCACCTCGGGCCACGCGGGGTCGAGTGTCACTTGATCGATCGCACTGCGCACGGCCCGATCCATCGCGACAACCGTTGGCAACTGCCACATAAGCTTTGGAGCCTGCCTACGTTACCAGCTACAGTTCAATCGCGCACAATACGAGGCGTTGGACCGCGCTGCCCGAGGAAATCGCTGACGATTCTCCCAATGTCACCATGCATGACGCTGTCGAATACTACCGTGCATGTACTCGTCAGCCTCGCAGGTAGAGAGAGTACACTTTGAGATGCGATGCTACAAAGGCAAGGCCGTGGCGAAGGTGCAGCAAAACGCAACGAGAGGTCTGCTCCACTTAGCCTGAAAGGCGCTTGTGCTTCAATGGACTTTGGACGGTGCAAAGACCCCCGGGCTTGTGCCGACGCGGAGGTGCCGTCATCATTTGAGCGACCCGATACCAGGGCGACACTCCAGAGCGCGTCCTCTCCAACGAGTTATAGGCGTGACCGGTGCTATAACGGAGTCTGGCATCGACACTGAGAGAATGTGCGAGCTCTAAGATCGTAGGCTGTCAGGACCAAGACGACCCGTGCGCGTCAAGACACATCATGCGTTGCGATCTTCCAGCGGAGAGTCCGGATAATAGTATCCGGACTAGTGTCCACGTCGCCGGTTTCCGTCGCTCAGTAATCTTTGCGATGCAGGCAAGCAGCAACTTTGGGAGCGGGCGGGGCGGCAGCTTTGGGGCGCCGCCGGCGTGGACGCCGCCATCGCCGCTGGAGAAGGCGTACTATGACACGCTCTTCGTCCTCGCCGACGAGGAGAAGGCCGGCACGCTCGGCGGGCGCAGCGCAGTGTCGTTCTTCTCCAAGTCGGGGCTCGACAAGACGGTGTTGCGCGAGGTACGCCGTACGCCTTTGGTACGCGAGCCGCTCACCGTACACGACATAGATTTGGACCATTGCCGACGCGCGCCAGACGAGCCAGCTCCTCATTGGCGACTTTTACGTGGCCATGCGCCTGATTGCGATGGCGCAGCAAGGACAGCCGGCGACGCACCAGCGCTTTCTCGAGCTCGCCCAGACGCCGTTCACGGTCGCGATCCTTCAAGGTGTACCGCCCCCCGCGATGCCCGCGCCGCCGGCCGCCGGGCCCTCGTACGCGATTCTCGACGACGAAAAGGCCAAGTACAATGGCATCTTCCGGCAGTACGACACGGACAACGACGGCTTCATCCAGGGCCACGAAGCCGCGACGCTCTTTCAAATGTCGGGACTGGACCGCGAGGTACGATGGTCGTGGCGCCTGGTAGCGAGCTCATGCTGATGCGTAGAACTTGCGCACCGTGTGGACCTTGGCCGACCGGACCTCGGACGGCCGCTTGGACGTGACGGAGTTTTACATTGCGATGCATTTGATTGTGTGCGTCACGAAGCGCAACATGCCGCTGCCGCCCTCGATCCCGTACGACATGGAGCAGTCGTTGCAGTCGAGTGCCAACGTGAACAACGCGACGGCCCCGCGCACCAACAGCTTTGGCGCGCCTTCGGAATTTGGGCACCCGCCACCGCCACGCACCAATAGCTTTGGACAACATGCCTCGCCAAGTGGCTTTGGCAGCAACGCGATGCCCGGCGGCCTCACGATGCAGCAGCCGCCAAGTCGCACCAACAGCTTTGGTCAGCCGTCTCCTGGTGGCTTTGGCCAGCCGTCTCCTGGTGGCGTCACCCAACCGCCATCTCAAGGCAGCTTTGGCCAGCCGCAGTCTCAAGGTAGCTTTGGCGCTCTGACGCCAGGTCGCACCAACAGCTTTGGGCAGCAGCCGCCTCAAGGAAGCTTTGGCCAGCCGTCCCCCGAAGGCAGCTTTGGGCAGCCGCAAGGCAACTTTGGCGCTCTGACGCCAGGCCGCACCAACAGCTTTGGCCAGCCGTCCCCCGAAGGCAGCTTTGG